AGAAGAATGCTTGCTGATTTTTATTTAATTTCCTAGTTTAAATTAGCTTTTGATTTAATAAATGATGAGCAGGAGAAGGAAGATATGATAATGCAAAATTAGGAATAAAGGAAGCGATTTCTTTGGTAACAAAGTTATTATTCATTCTGTGTGCCTGCTGGATCTTTATCAAAGGTGATTAATACTGTTCTAGAAACAGGCAGCACTTCTGAAATCTACAAAGTCAAAGCAGAGTTGACTAATGAAGACTTCAGTTCTGTGCCTTTTCAGGGGATATGTCCTTTCACCAATACATAAATTAAAGATGCATGACAAATCAAGGAAAGGAACCAACATTTCTGAACTCTTCTTTCTGCCGCAAGTTGTTTCAGGTCACCTTCATATATACAGTTGAACAAGGTCTCTTCTGTAAAAGCTTTGATTTTCATTCTGTAGACAATCCTATTAGAGAACAAAGAGCACTCAGTAGTTCCATGCAAACTTTTCAAAAAGACCATGAGAAATATTAAGATTAAAACATCTTAAACATTTAAATAAGATCAATTAAAAAGATGATGCAGTAATGTTCAATTACATACTGTAACGTCGAGAATGTATGTGAAAACAATCAGAATAGCAATAAAACCACCAGGACCAGTGTTCTATACATTCAACCGATCACTTAATTGATCTGTTGCTTAAACAAGAGTTCCTGATCTTTTTATAACAGGTAATTTAGAGTGACCTATTAGTGTAACAGATTTGGACCTCTCCAAGGTTTAAAATATCTGGTTTAGAGAAATGACTTCTGTTCATGGTCCAGAATTTGTTTGCAGAATGCTGCTGTATCCCTTTCGTTCAGTCATGCTTGTTTTTATTGATCAAGATACAAAATTATCTGACTATATAACATTTTTAATTTTTTAGCACAAAAAGTGTTAAATTGAGTTACAAGGTAGACTACAAATACTAAAGTCTTCCGAATAATTATACTGTACGTACAGTACCTGCTTTTTAATGTGGAATTAAAATGAATACTTTCAGCACTGTGACTACTTTGTGCACACTGTCTAGTAGGCTGCTTAAACATAATACCTTCTGGGATTCAACAATCCATTCTGAAATTTTATCAGTGTCTGTATTATCCCAGCTCATGACTGTCCACACAATATTCATCATTGAACTATTTTGTTCAACTGAACACAGAACATTCATTGACCAACACAAACTAATGACAGGATGTACACAAAAATGCTCCTTGCAGGCTTGTTCATACTTTCCTTTAGATTTTACAACAATACGTGGTGTTATAAATAGTAAAATATAAGAAGTTTAAGTTTGATGCAGAATTAAATCATCATCATTATGTACAGTATACACTGCTGTGTAAAACATTTTAGATATAATCCAGAATTATGATACAGTATATGCACTCAATGTGCTCAAAGCCTACATGATTCTGCTGAAATAACAGATTTATTGATGAAGCATATTTGGCTAAGAAGCTTGTCATGTATATGCAAACTATTTATAAGCAGCCAGTACGCGTTGTGGTATCTTATCCATCAGATTTACCAAGCAATGTTACCACTCTTTAAGGTGATCCCTGCCACCTAATCCCTGTTAAATTAAGTTAAATTAAATTAAGTTAAATCTGCTTTTTATGTTACAAATTGCAGGTCTATCAAAATCAACGGTTATTTTAAATGAAATAAGATTTTCAGAAGATCACCACAGAAATGTGTTTCTGCATTTAGTAGAAAATGCACTGACTTAAAATAACAGAACAACGCAGGGTGTTCAAGCAAAAATGATTTTATGCTGAACTTGATTGAAAACTTTGTTCCGTAGTGGATGGTAGTCAGGAAGCTGTGAATGAGACTTTGGCAGTATGTCATTTTGAAAAATGAGGATTATTTTATGCGCCTTCTATATCTAATCTAATCCTTACTTTCTCCTACCTGTACGATAATGGTTTCTCTGCTTATTGTGAGCTTTTGCAAATGCCTTGGACACAGCCAATCAGACAGAGTAAGAAATTGCTTCACCCTTAAGGGGAACTCTAGAGAGGCTGGAGTGGAAGTTTGCTTGGATGCTGCTGTTAAAACCCCTCCACTTGTGGATATTACCATACTGTAGGGTCTTTAATGACAAAGTAGTCGGGATCTTGGTCTGACGTCTCAGCTGGATTTTGGGAGCTCCTCCAGCACAGTGCCTATGGTAACTATAGTGAAGTTCTGAATGGGTTTGGAAATTGTGGTCCAGGGGAAGGGCACCTCCTACTGGTCTACTTAAAGTTACAACCTGGATTTCACTGGAGGTCCCATCCTTGCACTGATCAGGCACAACTGAGCTCAGACTACAAGGTACCGGCATGGCTATCATATGACGGACTTTGTTCCATTTATTTCAAGGTGGCATGTTCTGTTGTCTTTTTCTCTCCCCTGCCCCTGTAGTTTTTAATGATGTATGAGACCAATTAAGTAGGTTTTCATGTTACTCTGCTTTATCAATCTTATAATCTACCTGTAATTTTGCTTTTATTTTGAGATGTTCTTTTGTTTTATACAAAATATAATTACTGCCTTCATCTGTATGACTGTAATTGAGGTTTTGATGAACGTGTCCATCTACTGTACTGAAATTTAATTGTATTTTTTAGATTTGAACCTCTCCACGATACTGTAGAAAAGAGGCTGAAACCTGTTTTAATCATGCATTGCCCCTCCCCTGCCCTTTACCTCAGCCCCTTTCAGACTGCTGACCATAAGGTTTAGAGCAGCCTGCAAAACACAACTGGATTAGTTTCAGTGCTGCTGTTAAGTGGAGCATGCTCTGAAGCTAGCTTATCGTGACACACTCTAGTAAGCACAGGGCTTGCTCTAGACAGCAATCAAGTGAAGAAGGAAGCCAATTCCTCCTTATTCTGCCCACAGGGTATTACATTTTAATTGAGCTTACTGCCTGGGTGTTCTAAGAGTGTTTCACTTGGAGGAGACCATGCAACACAGGCATATGTATCCACTACATTGGTGGTGTGGATTATACAGATTCTGGTTTTTGTATATTTGTGTACTGCATGTAGTAAAGGTTGTGGATGTGATGTGGCTGTGTGTGAAAGTTAGCACAGACACTGTACATGAGTCCAGTACTGCTGCATAGGTCCTGCGGGACACAGGGAATCTTATCCCAGGCATGAAATGCTACCATAGCCCATGTTAGAGGAAAGTTAAAAAAATAAATTTTGCTTCCTGGAAAGTCAGATGTGTGCCTGCTTTGATGTTATTAAGTAAAGCTGCATGTCAGAACTCCTGAATACAATAAAACAAGGCTAATTAGCAGACCTAGCTCTAATAGATTTGCATGAGTGATTTAATGCTTCAGACACAACTGGGTATTTTCAGGTATATGTGGTATATATGGAGACATTTCTGCACATAAAATAATTGGCATATGGCAATCTAATCTTAAGAAGTTTTGTGTTAACTTGTTGAAACATTTGAATTGTTAAGAATCAAATGTTGTGGTGGTGTGTTCGCCTTTAAGATGGGCCTTGTCTTGAATTAGATTTCTCTGGAGCTGATTAAATCTGAGATGTATGAGAAATAGTCTTCCATACAGTACCTTATCAAAGCTGCCCTGTCTCATAACCTAGGAGCACTATATAACAAATTGAACTTGGAATTTTAGGATTAGGTACAGCTGAACAGACGACAAACTCCTCAAAATGTCAAAGAACATAAGTTCTGTCAGCAGCAGGATTGTAAATGAACATTAGATTGATACACTGTACAGGACATGCGATATCGTATGAAATAAGTGGAAACTGCAATAGCTGGAAATTGCTGATGATATAAGCTTCTCGCTTAATCTGTCACCTTTCTGGTAACTACCGGGGGGCTAAGAGATCAATCAGGTGACATTACCACAGTGCTGTAAAATCAAGGAAGTCATAATTATAGGAAATAAGAACTGAGCTATTGTTATCAAGCTTCAGATTACTGAAGTCAGGCATAATTTTCATTGTATCAATTCTCAATAACATGAAAAAATAATAAGGCTCTGTATCTTTAACTCGGGAAGGAGAAGTTAATGTGAGTGCCCTCATGAAAGATAGTGTGAGATAATTGTTCACCCTAGGCTATAAAATGCAATATAATTAAAATAATCCTCAGGTCCTCAGACAGGTAAAAGTACAAAAAAAGAAACTTTCAATTTTAATTTAAAGGAGATAAATGTTCCTAACATAATCTGGGAAATTAATGGTCATTAACTTTTATCACTGCCTATCTTCTCATAATAAATGTAGTGTGGTTGCTGAGTCAGACACCAGAGATAAAGCAGAGGAAACGTAGTCAAGCAAAGAAAATCCTATAATTCTTTTGAGTTTGATGTTTTGATGGACAACTGCGTAACAGCATGGACATAACTGTTGTGGTGACATTTTTAATTAGTAGCGCTCTGAATCATGGCTGTTACTATTATTATCATTGCTTTGGAAAAATTATAAATGCAAAAACAAGACCAGTTTATTATTTATAGGAACTTGCTCTTTCAGTTTACCCGATCTACCTCGTTGTTTTATGAAACGCATAAACCAGTTGCCTGCATGCTAATTGTAAACAGAACAGTTTTCTGGTGTCCTCAATAAATTCCACTTTATGGTCACATTATCTTAGCTCCAAGAACCATTCCCCCCTTAGTTCAACTTGTGAAGTAATTTGTTATTTCTGTTTTATCTGATGTGTATGCAGTGGTGCTAATGGTGCATAATTGCGGTCTCACACAACCCAGGTGGGTGCAACACCTCAGTTAAAATTAAGAGCAGTTTTCACCTCATCACCCAGAGCTTGGTCACTCTTGGGCTGCAATGTGTGGTCAGAGCTCAGTGGCAAGCCCAGGCTGCAGCTGATTTCCCTGCACAGGACCTTGGAGAGCTACGGCTTGCTCTGTAACAGTGAAGACCCTGGTGGCCCTCATGTTTTAAGCTGACTTCCTTCTGATCTGTCTCCTGTCCACAGATGCAAGTAGAGACAACCGACTTGAGTGGGAAGATTGTGGAAGGCCCAGTGGCCCTGGACGTGTTTGTTATTGACCAGAACGACAACAGGCCCATTTTCAAGGAGGGCCCATATGTCGGTCAGGTGCTGGAGGGCTCCCCTACAGGTAAGAGGCCTTTCGTATTAGAAAAGGGTGGAAGGGAGAGGATGACAGCACGGGCAGGTGGCAATGGCAGGAGGTTTGATTGATATAATGTGTGGTTTGCCGTCTAGCATCCCAGAGTCTTCGTATTATACAGTACTCTAAAGTCTGGTCAGGTGTTCAGTGGGAGGCTATATCACCACACAGAGGTTACCATCCATAGATGCATGTTCCCTGTGTGAGCCCATTCATCACTAGTATGTTTACTCTAAATAATGCCCCTCTCTCCCACTAAGAGTAGTCACCTTATCTGACTGTCATGACTCAGTTGATTCATTGTTTACTGATTTATCAGTGAATCAAAAGTGACAGCATTTTTTGATTAGCTCAAAATGGCTGCTGCCAAGAACACACCCTTATACTTTCTACTTATATATCAAGGATAAATGTGTGATTTGGAAAAAGACCTGTATGAAAAAAATCATCAAAACCCATCACCTGCAAGTGACTTGATTTCTGATTGTATCAGAAAGTGATATAACACTAGGTATAATGCTAGTTAGGAATCCTACATCAGTACTGGAGCAAAACTTAAACTGCTAAAATGCCCGCCCTGAGAGGATGTCACCGGTCACATGCCTCATCTTTAACGTTGAGAAGGAAGTAGTTTTTGTGCAAAGATTAAAATGCTAATGGTAGAGGCTTAACACAGTTTTCTACAAAGGCAGATCAGATTTTATCATGTGATACATAGAGATTCTGTTTCACTTAATATTGAAGAGGCTGTACATAATTTGGGGAATTGTTGTGCCCTGAGCCTGAGCTTTGTGGAGGTTTGAAAGTTATCAGGCTGTGTTAGGGCATTTCCAAGTTTTGCTTATGACATCAAGGTCACAAGATTTGGTTGCCATCTTGGATTAGGCAATAAACACTTGAACAAGTTCTTCGAAACTGTAAGACCAGCCCAAACCCACTTACTATAATAAAGTCTTGTTGGTAGAGTTTTCCAAACTAATGAAACTTCCTATAGACCCGGAACTCATGTACTGTAGATCTACAGTGAACATGGAAATGAAATTGATTGGTCATGCAACCATATCAGGTAGTGTGCCTCCAATGCAAGGGTACAGCTGTTCCTCGGTTTTCTTCTTTAACACCAATAACAGAACAGATCCAAAACGTGCTGCACAATGTTTCCTCATGTCCAAGATGCCGACTTCTTCAGGCCAGTAGACTGCCCTTTCATGTCAGGTATCCTCACAAGACTATTTCAAACAAATTGCTACAGTACATAAAAAAGACATACAGTAGCCACCATGAGACATTCAAGTTAATGTATATTAAGTGCCTCATATTTCTGCACATTGTAGCACTTTTGTCGAGCAGTGATGGGGCACCCAGCAGACAAGCAGTGGAGCATGTGATGTCAGTACCGGGAGAGTATGCTGGGATAGATGGGAACTTGTCAGGGATAGTTGGGAACTATCAGGGACATTGTTAACTCCTGGGACTTGGGTGAAAGGAGAGGGGTTTGTGTGCATGGTGTTGAGTGTATGCGTGTGGCTGTCCCATGATTTCTCATCCTGGTCTGTGACTTTGGTTCCCACCCTGACGTTCCTGGCTTCTATCACTAAGGACCCCCACCTTCACTGCCCATACAGTGTGGCTTGCTCTTGTTGAGTAGTGAGAATAGCCTTTTTAAGGACTACAAAATGATGCTGTTCTCTTTCATAAAAGAGTCTTTCTCTTCCTACTGTTCTCTGTTATTGTTCTGTTTGTTCTGATTTACTATACATTAAAAGCACAGTTCTATAGGCTCCTAAATAATTGTGTGATTGTAGAATGTGGGGAGATATAGTTCACTGCCCCCCCAAAAGAGTTAATTGGTCTAAGGATTTTGCATTCATATAAGACATTTAATGAGAAAAATCTCATGAACCTCAATAACAAGTGCAGATGGCATTATGGTTACTGTGGAACACAAATAACAACGCTTTTGTTTCTATGCACTTTGTTTTTGCTGTGTTTCTATGAAATGACCTTGCCTGTGACTGCTGAACTTTTATTTTGCATGTGACCTCTGTCATATGCAAGTCTTCTCAGAACTCCTAACAGTGCGTAGAGGGTCATAGTTATAATTACATAATTTTAGGAACCATATGTGCTCTCTTGAAAATTGTCCTTATTCTTTATCTTTGACTTATTAAAGTTGTAACAAAAACACTTGTATCTCCTTTCAAGATGCAGACAGGGTTATAATTATTATGCAACACGTAGAGAAATCCTTAGGTCTCCTATCAAAAATTCTCCTTGTTCATGACCTTTGACATCCCTCAAATTTTAAATGCAAAACTGTATTATAACAGCAGGGGTTGGTCATTTAGGATGGCTACTTATTTAGTTGAATGAAAACCATTACACTGTTAGATGAGTAGTTTATTGAAAAGTAAAATCAATAATATATATGCAATAGAGTCATTTAAAAGTTGTTCCATCATTTTCAGTCAGTATTTCTGATGTGCAAATGCAAAGAAAAGATAAAAGACATGCTGTGTCCTTGTTTTTGCTTCACAAATTAAATTGCAAGACCTTTGTAAGACAGAAATCCACACTCTTGTCAGTTGCAGTAAAGCAGAAGTCAGGTCACCAAGTGTTGATTCAATGACTTCCTGAGTGCACTTAGGAGCATTTGAAGAAGAGAGAGTCTGCACTCAACCACAGATTCTGATTTTTTTAGATTTCCAGAACCTGTTATTTGGGTACAAAGGGAGTGCAGTTTTAATCTTAATACTGTTTTTTTCCTATTTCACATTTTTAAAGTGGGTATACAGTACCTGTATGTACATATACACAGCATATTCTGTACTGTATATGTATATGTATACAAATAGTTCATTCCTCATAACTCATAAATTTGCTGCAAAACATTCATACAGTACAAGTTTATTTTTGCACAAGTATTCTATAATTGAAAATTTTGTGTTGAATGGTGATCTCAATGAGCATGGTTTCAAAGTGAAATAGGTTAAGAGTCAGGAATACCCAAAGAATTGTAGCTATATCTGTTAAAATGCCAGTGCATGTAATGCCAAATACAACAGGCCAGCAGCCATATCACCCTGCAACTCACACCTGGCAACCCACTGAAGCTCAGCAGGTGTGAGCCTGGTCAGTACCTGGATGGGAGACCACCTGGGAAAAACTAAGGTTGCCACTGGAAGAGGTGTTAGTGGGGCCAGCAGGGGGCGCTCACCCTGCGGCTCATGTGGGTCCTAATGCCCCAGTATAGTGACGGGGACACTATACTGTAAACAGGCGCCGTCCTTCAGATGAGACGTAAAATCGAGGTCCTGACTCTCTGTGGTCATTAAAAATCCCAGGGCGTTTTTCGAAAAGAGTAGGGGTGTAACCCCGGCGTCCTGGCCAAATTTCCCATCGGCCTTTATCAATCATGGCCTCCTAATAATCCCCCTCTATGAATTGGCTTCATCACTCTGCTCTCACTGATAGCTGATGTGTGGTGAGCGTTCTGGCTCACTATGGCTGCCGTCGCATCATCCAGGTGGGGCTGCACATTGGTGGTGGTGGAGGGGAGTCCCCACTACCTGTAAAGCGCTTTGAGTGGAGTGTCCAGAAAAGTGCTATATAAGTGTAAGCAATTATTATTATTGTTAACAGTTTGAAAAGCTTAACCCCTGTATTTCAATATTTTGCTTGTAGGCCAATTTAAGCAACATTTCCATTTAAGGCAATGCAGTGTATAGAGCCATGTAGTATATGCAAGAAAAAAGATGTGAAGATAACTTTGAAATATCCCTTTTTCTCAATTTTATTTTTGTCCTAAAACACACCCGTGCCATCATCGTCCTCTACGGGTTTGGGTACTATATATACTTTAGTAAGATGATCTCTACTTTACAGCCCATTTAGAAACCCTACCCTAGATAATATCCAGATGTTGTTTTGTAGATACCATACATATAGAATAATAATGTTGAGGTTAGTTTATGCAAAAACACATTTATGTAGTCAAGCAAGAGATACTTTAATATTCTCCCTCATTACCCTCCAGTATGTCTGTTTTTAATTTTTCACATTAAATGTTTTCAGCTTGAGTAAACCCCTGAGTAATTTTTTAAGGTTTGTGATAATTTTTTTAAAAATAACTTTTAAACAGATGATCAAAATGCTTTGTCTTAAACCACAAAATCTTTAGATGGCTTACATTTATTTTCATTGCTATCATCATGTCTGTATTTTGTGATCTATTTATCAAGAATAATATATGGAGACGCTTTTAGAAATCATTTCCAGCTTGAAGGACTGCTTATCAATCTTCCATGCTCTTATTTGGCACACCGCTATTCAAAGAATATTATAACCGCAATTTTGAAACACTTAAAAGTAGCCTTGGGTAAATGTGCCCATGAGTTAATACGGCACCTTTTAGTTGGGCGGCTCAAACGCCCAATTTTTTTTCTCAGCCCTACAGGAAGTGAGGCCTTTTATTGTCTGTAAAACTATGTTTTTGTTTTGTTTTTGTTGCTTTCATGAACTACAGCAATAAGAAAATCACTGAGACGTGTGATTGTCAGTAGTAAAACCCTTGGAGCCTTATGCTGGCATTTTCCTTTTTTCATCCTTGAGCAACCTTACAGCTTCACAGTGATCTCGGTTTTCTCTGGCACTATTCATATAAAACTTTCTGTGGCTCCAGCCGTTGCTTGGCAACCTTAAACATCAGTAGGCATTTAAAGAAATAGAGCAGGATACCCTCACTGACACCACAATCGCCGATGTGAATTATTTGTGCTTCTCTGTGAATCCCACGACAGATGCTTATATAATGACACTGCAACCTTAATGTGTCATCTGAAAATACTGTAAATAAATACGGCACATAGATAGGTTTTCCACTTATACAGTATACAGAATATGCACTGTGTATGGGGGTAGCGTTGAGTAGTGGTTAAAACTCTTTACTCTTAACTTCTGCCCAATCTAGGGGGCTAAGATTAGTCAGC